TAGTCTCCCTTTATTTATTTATCAGCACAAATACAGCACAAATACTATACACACACACACACACACACACACACACACACACACACACAATCTCCCAGTTATTCTATGGTACATAAAAAGTAAGGAATGCATTAGCTGCTGTTTATTGTGATATACATAGACAATGAATGACAAGAAAGAAACCGATGTTTAGGACTACAGTATTTTTTAGGGGACTTCTAAATCTACACAGTTTGATGCATAGGGACAGTTAAAAAGTTTGTCTTGTGTTTTTTTCAGTCTTTAAGCTGGATGGTTTAATATTTGGGAGGGAGGAATATACCAATTTGACAGAGAAAGTATTCTGCTGCCACCTGCAGCACGATTGCATAACAGAGATTTTTTATCTCCTATATTCTGACTATTTCATCCAATGCTGCCTTGGATTAAAAGTCAAACTATTTAATGGGTATTTAAAACATTTTGAGGCAGTGTGAGGGAAAAAAAGAAATTTAGGATACTTGAAAAGACAGCTATTGCCTTGTTAGGTGATTACTAGTTACTAGTTGATTTGTTCTAATGTTATGCGATGGCAATACAACCTATAAAATTAGCTTTTATACATCTCTCACAAGATAACTATTTAAAATAAGAGCATAAACATTCCTATAAGGATTCCATATTATATATCAATAATTCAGGAAGAGCAACCTGTATCTCCAATATGTTCTCCATCGCAATACTTCAAGATCATACTGCCAACAGCAAAAATGTGAATTTCAGAAGGTTGATATTGTTTTAAAATAATAATAGAAGAAGGAAGGGGCAATCTGGAAGACAAATCTCTCTCATCCTCACTCCTTAAAAGCCTGCTGCCAGCAATAGGCAAAAATCACAGCTTTTCAAACCGTTGGGATGGTTTTAGGGTTAGGGAGGGTAGGGATAGGAGAGTTCGGTTCACAGAAATTTCTCCTTTCATTTCCATACTGATCATATCCCCCACCACTGTTCAAATGGTTGGAAAAGTTTTATCCTCCAATTATAATGAATTCCTAAAAGCTCAAGAGGTTGAATTGTAGTCCCTGGTCCCTCAAACCTTATCTGTCACTGCAAAAATCAGGCAAAACTCTCCTCTAGGCCCCACACTGACACACATCTAAGCTGGATCAGTTGGTGTACAGCTACAGAGAAGGGCTTACAGCAATATTCAAAAATCAAAACTCATTACCTAAACCTAAAGCAAAAGTCCGGGGGGTATTAAAAAGAGGCTCAGGTTGACATTTTCCTGACTAACTGGTGTATAAGAAAGAGGGAGAAAGCACAATCAAACTAGTTGTCTCTATTGGTATAGCTCATCTCAATAAAGCATAATTCTACTTTTCCTGTAGAATCTATTTCCTGATCTCGTCTCTCTCAAATGTTGATGTTGATGTTTAATAAATTTATAGGCCACCCAATCCTGAAGGACTCCGGGCGGCTTACAACAATACATTTAAAAATAGAAGTTAAAAACACAAAAA